CTTAGCAGGCGGGGAACTCAGTAGGGCATCCAGTCTATGAGCAAAACTCAGAAATCAGCTGTGTGTTTCAGTTCGTGTTTTGACGGGTTATCACAATAGAAAGACATCAGCGAACTTAGTACAGAGATTTTGGTGGCCCTCTATGATGCAAGATGCAAAGAGATACGTTGAAACCTGTCAGGTTTGCCAAACGGACAAACCTAGGACTCACGCCCCGCTTGCGTTGATTAAGCCCTTGCCGATTCCTGAAGGGCCGGGTCAGGGTGTGTCCATGGACTTCATGGATACTCTTGTGACCAACCGGTCTGGGAAAAGACACATCTTTGTTATAGTGGATCGCTTTTCTAAGTATGCCAGACTAATCGCTATGCCCGAAAATGCTAAAAATGACTACGTCATCAAACTCTTTATGGATAACTGGGTACGAGACTTCGGTTTGCCTGCATCTATTGTTAGTGACAGAGATGTGAGATTCACCAGTGAACTGTGGCAATCAAACGCTGAGAAGATTTGCACAAAGCTCCAAATGACATAAGGGAATCACTCTGAGTCAAATGGACAAACAGAACAGATGAATCGAGTAGTACAACACCTACTTAGACGTTATATCAAGCCAAGTCAGGACGACTGGGAAGAGAAACTACCTCTCGTCGCCAGCTTGTATAACAACACTGTGCATAGTACGACAGGAACGCCTCCCAACCAACTGCACCTTGGTTGGAAACCCAGAACTGCACTTGACTTTCTGCTACCAGAAAGAGAACCCACTACAGCACCTGGCAGCATAGAGTTCGCTGTCAAATATGAACAAATGCTGCAACAGGCTGTTGAGCATATCAGGAAATCTCAGGATGCAATGATCGCATATGAGAATAAGCACAGACAACCCTCTAGCTTTCAGGTAGGTGATAGAATCTGGGTTAAGTCATCTGAATTAGGTCAGGAGTTAGGCATTTCATGTAAACTAATGCCACAGTACTTTGGGCCCTGGGAGATCTTAGACATTGTAGGGGATCAACCGTACGGGCCATCATACGTGATTCGCATTCCTGCGCACTTACGCACTTACCTTGTGTTCCATGCCTCCAAGTTGGCACCTTTCGCTGCCAGTGATCAGTTTCCCTCAAGAAGATCAATGCTGCCCCCAACCATGGATAGCGAAGTGGATATTGACGAGATCCTGGAGCATCAAGTGATGCCAGTACCTCGACCATCAGGCAGAGGCCGCCCTCCTAAACCAAGAATGCAGTATCGTGTGAGATTCAGACATCATTTGGATCCTAAAGAAGATCGCTGGTTCACACGAGAGGTGAGAACAACACCTCAAGTGATTGCAGGCTACGAAAGAGAACTCAAAGGGAAGATGCCTGCAGAGTAACATACTTCTCAGAGGACTAACGAAGTAAAGGAGGAGGGAATGCGAGGATCTGGGTCCTCGGCAGGCCTGAAGGGCCCCTGTTGCAAGAGTGCCCACCCTAACATATCACAAGAGGCGCTCGACTGTCAAATTCATATTTGGGGTCGAGGCAGTTGCGACGCGTCAGTTGGTTGAGAGGAACCCAGGCCGAGCAACAAAGACATTTCTACGGCCTTCTGGGCCTTTCCAAAGAATGCAGGCC